ATATATATTATAAAATAACTGCAGTGGCTTCATAAATTAACTAAAAACATAAAAAAGCAAAGCACACCTTATGCAAACCTTTGTTCTTCATTTTCTAGAACTACAGTTTAAGAACCTTGCTGTAGCTATTTTTGTGTATTAATTAAGAGAAAGTACACCGCCATCTTACTCCGCCGAAAGTGACTTGAACACACCTGTCGTCGTAAACTCGACTTCCCAGGAGGACTTGAACGCACCATCATACCGGTAATCTTGAGTCTTTGGTTCACACACCGCATCATACCGATTAATTTACTGGTAATGTTACAACTTCTTATACCAGGAAATTGCCAGAACTGATGTACCGGTATTTTTTAAATCTCTTTAATTAACGGTAATTTACCGATAATTAACCAGTAAAGACTGTAGGCTATTGTGTGAAAGGGACAGGTGACTAATTGTGTGCAGGGGTGGAAATGATAAAGAGAGATAAATCATTTTCATATAATAAAATAATCAATTTCAGATTAACCGTGAAATATAAAAAGGTTTTTGTTTATTTCACTCTTTGCTTAGCTTGTAGCCTGGTTAAAACCAGAGCATTCTCAGTTGTAACTGAGTTATGGTCTGGCAAAGCGTCATAGACAAATCATTTCCAGAGGGGCGTCACCAACGGACGTCGCGGATAGACCTAAACCCAATCAGAGCGATGAAGGAGATGACGTATGCAGAACGGCGGAGAAACATCTCCGAGTGTTGTTCTTTGCTCGGTTTTTAACTAAAAGGAAACGTTCAAATGGCTTAAAACAGACGCGATAGCTGATTGGAACGAGTGATGTGCGACGGCGGCATCCATCTTTGTAATGTAGGCTACAAAATCTGCTTCAAAATCCCAGCGCTGTCGTCATCGTGTAAAGCCCGCCCCAACGCTTCTGATTGGTGCCTCGATTTCGGCGGATTGGAAATGGGCTTGAATGAGCTCTTTGCCAGACTAACTTTCAGAGCAAATCTAAATTTGCCGGAACTTGTCTGGGTTTTCCCGGGCTACTTAGCTTGTGAAAGATAACATGAATTTTTAAATTAAATTCATAGTTATAAGATGGAATTTTTATATTTTATTTCTAAAAGCCCATAAAAACGATTTGGAAAGTAGCAAAAATAACAAAGGCATGATGTATTAAGTTAACGTGGCCTTCATAACAAAGAAAAATCTGTCTGTTTAATAAAAATCAACCCCTGGTACATAAAAGTGCCTGACGTTGAAGAACCACCCATTCATCGCTTTGTCTTTTTCCCTCTCGTTCACTCATCCTCCTTTTTTGATCGACTGCTGAAGGGCTGCAGAATCTTCTCTCTTCTCCATCTCTGTGACTGTGACGCTTCACTGACTCTGGAGCTCTCTGCGCTAGCGTCTGGCGCTACATAAAGGGCCTGTGCTTTCTCAAGGGCGCTAGCACACATGTACGGCCGGGCTGCAGGCCACGATTAAACCTCGTCTCACACACACTCGCTCAGGCTCTTTCAAATCTTCCCCAGTTTCTCTCTCCGCCTACATTCACTCATCTCGAGTCTTGACGTTCTCTTGATGTCTTTCTTAGAGTGTCACCCGAGGTGATGCTATCATGGTCTTCCACGCTCGCTAGAGACAATCTGAGCTAAAACAAGGATAGAGGATGAACTGAAAGGCAATTAAAGAGGGATCTCACACAGTGAAAAGGAAGTGAGAATGCGAAAGAGAAGTCGCAATGCTAATGTCTAGAGATGTGGCCGCAGTGTAGAGTCATTAATGGCTCAGTAAAGCATGCTGGTTAATTACCCTGCTGAACAGTGTTCAACACTCTCTGAACTCTTTAAATAGACTTTAACTAATATCATCTGAAGCAAAACTAAAGAAACTGTAACTTTAGCACATTACTGACTCTGGGTCTCAGATGTTTCTCAGGGATCCCTCACCAAAATTAACTCAGCCATTGAAAACGAAGCCCTTTTAACAAAACAGACCAAACCATTTTATAATTACAGGGATCTCAATTCAATAGAAGATCTCAATTCAAAATTCAGTGCATGAAACTTAAAGAAAAAAATTTTAAATATACTCACAAATAAACTCTGTAAACATATGAAATCACATTCACCATAAAGCAATAATGAAAATAAACTGAAACACATAAGTATACTTTATACACACATTCAAATTAAAAAATGACTCGAACACATATTCTCCCAAAACCTACATTTCCCATAATTCCCGGCAAAAGATCAGGTAATGCCACGGCCTTTTAATAACAAGCCTTTATTCCAAGCTTCAGTCATGATCCCTGCGGAACGATGGGCAAGATGCACAATCATTCAAAACAAAATTAAATAAAAATGTTAAACCCATATCTTTACTATACTCTAGTAATGAATTACTGGCGATGTCGCTCTTTGATCTTTAATGCGAGCATAAAGAGACAACGCGCACCTCTAATTCAAATGTTTTGGGGTAAATAATATTAAAGACACAAAATAAATACATAGAAATGTATAAACAAGCAGATAAAAAAAAAAAACATTGATCCCTCAAAGCAAACGAAATATCAATTTCGCATACAAAAAAAAAACTAGAACAATTCAAATGAAATATTTATTAAGTGTGACCTCTGTCATGACAAAGCACAACAAACCTTTTTTTGGATTGAATTTTAAATCACAAAAATAAAAATTTTCACGTAATCGTGCAGCTCTAGTGTGTACATGTGTGCATGCTGGGCTGATGATTAATTTACCGTAATGCAAACCCCTAGTGTACACATAAAAACTGGAGTATACTAACTGGGTCCAAAGTATGAGCAGTAGTAGCCAAGCATCACTAATGAAAGAATCGGGACATTTGAGGCGGATGAATAGAAAATGCTGAATCTAGTCCTTTATAAAATGCAAAGGCTGGGATTTGACAGAACTGTACAAAATGCAAATGTCTAAGCTTGTCTGCTTCCCCTTTCACCCGCTCTCTCTCTTCCTCTCTCACATGCCAGCTTTACCCTCAAGACATGTTGCCCTCCTGGTCCATGTGACACGCTCGGTCACATGTTCTCTCGTTGCAGCTTATCTCTGCCGTAAAGCTGAGCGCTTGTGACCGGAATCGAGATGATTGCAGCGTAAAGCTTTTCCTCTAGCCCCGTTCTGCTGATGTATGATCCACACTGACAGACCCCGGCACTGACATGCCTTCATTCTTACAACCTTCCATCAGAGGTTTCCTCGCAGGACCCCCGGGGTTTGATTCCATGTGCAGATTGTATTCTCGTACGCGTGGCACTGTGTTTGCCTGGGTGACTTTGCGACGCATCTGTGACCTATTCAACCCTTGACCTGCAGTCACCCACCGCGAGAGAGAGTGTGAGATGGTGTTGGGCTCTGCTGCAGTATTCGGGTTTACAGACACAGATCTGCAACTGCTCTGCCATCTGCTGGTGATATGAGAGTAGTGCACCCTTTATATTCTATAGCAAACACACTTCAACCCGCTATCAAAGTCTTCAGGATCACTTGAAAAGTCTCCGGCAGGCGAGCTGAAGCAGGTTGGAAATAAACAGTCGGAGCAAGATTGAAGATCTGCTGACCTACAGCCAATTTTATTGATTGATCCCTTATAAAATTACCTTCCTAATGTGTTTAAAAGCCCTTTAGTGTCCAATGTTGCTAAATAAACGGCACAAAACGGTCTCCTTCTAACGGATGTTTTTTGTTGACATATTTGTAATAATTTGATCAAAAATGCTGTAAAACAGTAATGTTGTTTTCTATTTTATACGTATGTATTAAAATGTAATTTATCCCTGTGATCAAAGCTGAGTTTTCAGCATCATTACTCCAGTCTTCAGTGTCACATGATCCTTCAGAAATCACTCTAATATGATGATTTCATGCTCAAGAAACATTTATTCTTATTATCGATGATGAAAACAGTTGTACTGCTAAGTTTTTGGGTGGAAACTGATACATTTTTTTCATTATTCTGTAATGAACAGAAAGTTCAAAAGAACAGCGTCATCAATTTAACGTGTCATTGCTGAATAAATTTATTATTTCATCAACAACAAAAAAATTTATATATCTTACTGATGTCAGATGGCAGTGTTTAAATATATATATATATATATTAGGGCTGTCAAATGATTAATCACGATTAATCACATCCAAAATAAGTTTTTTTTTACATAATATATGTGGGTGCACTGTGTATAATTATTTTGTATATATATAAATACACACACATGCATGTATATTTAAGAAAAAAATATAATTTATATATAAAATATTTATATTTATATATAATATAAATTATATATAAATCTATATACAGTATATACATGAAAATATTTCTTAAATATATACAAGCATGTGTGTGTATTTATATAAAATAATTATACACAATGCACCCACATATATTAAGTAAAAAAAACTTTTATTTTGGATGTGATTAATCGTGATTAATCATTTGACAGCCCTAATATATATATATATATATAGCACATTAATAGTTCTGGTGGTGATTTTGACTGATCCCAGTGACTTTTTCTGCATGTTATATTGCACATATTCCAGTGGGAGGTGACAAGCAAGTGTTTTAAATGAGTCATTGAGTCGTTCACAAGTTTGAAATGTAAACCAGTTTGAATCACATGCTGAATTGAACAGCTGAATGATACTGTAATTCGTTTTGTTCACCGATGAGATGTCCCAGTTGATTTATTCACAAACAAAATGCTTCAGTCGATACAGTTTGTTCACAAGTGAAATTTTAAGTCTAATTTAGTAAAGGGGGAAGCTTTAGTGAAAGGAAAAGGAACGATTCATTCACTTAAAAAGTGGAGAAAAAAATGACAAACAACACAACACATCATATCAAACACTTCAAGAACATCTGGCACCCTTTTCTGCCGACTCCTGTTTAATGCAAAAAGTACTGTTCAACCCGCTCAATATTTTTCTGTTAGATCCTGATACATTTTTATTTATTTTTTATTCTTTCACAGATCCTGTTCGACCAGGCCCAAAGATCCGTAAAGCAACAGTTGCACAATTTTGTGAAGGAGTGAGTTCTTTCTTCTCTTTCCTGCTCTTGTTTCTGATTTCTATTGCATTTCCACTCCCCCCGTCCTCTGTGATGTGTGCGTCTTACCCTGTCATTTGTGTCCGCGCAGGGATGTTCGAAGGTTTAAAGAGACTAAGAAGCAGTTCGATAAGGTTCGGGAGGATATGGAAATCGCCCAGGTGAAGAACGCACAGGCGCCTCGCAACAAACCGCATGAGGTGGAGGAGGCCACCAGCACCCTCGTCACGACCCGCAAGTGCTTCCGACACCTCGCCCTCGACTACGTGCTTCAGGTCTTTCACAAATCAATAGCATTGGATTCAAAATCTAAAATTGTAAATCCCCAAAATGATGAAAACAAGGAAATGTTAAAGGGATGGTTTACCTAAAAATGAAAACTTCGGTCATCATTTACTCCCCCTCATGTCATTCCAAACCTTTTGGAGAATGTTTAAACTGTTTTTGTCTATGTAATGAAATTCAATGGGGTCCAATGTTTTTTGGACCCCATTGACTTTCATTGTATGAAAAAAAAAAAACTTTAAAAAGTCCATTTACAAACAATTTACAAGCCCACAAACATTTAATTTTCCGTCTCCATAAAAGCGATGCCAGTTTCTGGGCAGTCTTGAATGCTATTTTTGCTTGGAAATGGCCGCCAGCCTCCAGTCCTCGCGGCGGCGGTCTGACGGATCGGACCTGACCGCTTCTTCCCATCTTTACTCGGCCATCATTAGCTCTCATTTCATAACATAACGCAACCTACTTTGTACTCTCCAGGCTTTGTGTCCTGTGAAGGCTGTGATTTTATGGTTTTTCCTTTTAGTTACCATCCATGTTCTGTTTTTAGTGAACTCGGTTGGTTGACAAAGATTGCTGTAATGGCTGTTCTATTTTGGTTAAGTGACCCAAAGGTGTTTTGGTAAAAGAAATAGATGTTAGTGTGTTTTGCATTTACTATAGAGCAGTGTTTCCCATCCCTGTTCCTGGAGACACACCAACAGTGCACATTTTGGATGCCTCCCTTGTCTGACCCGTATATTTCAGGTCTTGGAGTCTCTACTAATGAGCTGAGGAGTTGCGTTTGATCAGGATGCGTTGAAAATATGTAGTGGTCGGGTAAGTTTACATCAAAACGATATAATAAAAACAGAAATGTTTTTCCTTTGCATTTTTCAAGCACAGATGACCACGTTGTCAAAACGATCCCGTTCACGTGGATCCACGGAAACGACTAAAAACGCTGTATTCTGTAGTTGGCGATGTCACTTTTTAAAGAAACACTACCCGCCTATAGACTGAACACGTAATACGCATGCGCATGATTCCCCCCCCCCCCCCCCCCCCCCCAAAAAAACCCACTGTTACCGTTTTCACAAATGTGTGTTTTTGTAGTTTACACGGAGATGATAACGGTATCATTTTCGGATTCTTTCACTTTGAATCCCATTTTCACGAGTTTGCGTTTTCAGGCCCCAAAACGCTGTTGTCGTATAAATAAATGGCAAAAACACATCCACATTTCATAGTTGGAAAACGGTGTCGTGTAAATGGACCCTTGGTGTGCCTCCAGTAATAGGTTTGGGAAACACTGCAATAGAGAAATGGTCAGCCATGACCATTATATCTGATATGTTTCTGTTTTATAAGGATGTTAAATATGTTTAAAGGGATAGTTCACCCCAGAATGTAAACTCTGTCAGTAATTACTCGCCCTCATGTTGTTCAACCCCGTAAGACTTTCGTTCATCTTCAGAACACAAATTAAGATATTTTTGATTAAATCTGAGAGCTGGATCACTCCTCCATTAGGGGCTTCTTAAGGGATCGAAACTGGCCGGCCCAAAAGTTATGAAAGACATCGTTAAAATAGTCCGAGTGACTACAGTGGCTCAACCTTAAGTTTATCAAGCGACGAGAATACTTTTTGTGCGCAAAAAACAAACAAAAATAACGACTTTATTCAACTATTCATTTCCTTCTCTGTGGGCCGTGAGATTTCATGTTTTGAAACAGTGCAGCGCTTCTGGGTTGTACGCAGGGTTCTCAAGTCTCACGCATTGGCCGTGAGACACACGCAATTCAACCAGTTCACACGCTCACACGCCACACCGTGTATTTCTCACGCTGAAAAGGCAATGCCAACCAAGTTGTCCTGTAAGCTTTATATATAACGTTGTATACGAGGCGCATGCACACAAAGATAAGTTTCCTGCCGCCAGCGCGTCCGCATCTCGGCCAGATTGCGTTCGTTACTAGGCAACTTATAGACGCGCGAAGTCCGCGAACACACACGGAAGTTCGGCCACCGCGACAGCGCGCGAACACACGTCCTGATGGAGAAAGTAAGTTGGAAGAAAGGTCGCCTAACATTTTTAGACTAGAAGTTCTAGAACATTTAATATATAGCCCAGTCAAAAACTCTACAACTGCTTTGCAACCAGGCCAGAAGCTTTGGCTCAGTTTGGCTAAGGAAATGTTATTGGGTATGGGAAGGAATTAAGATGTATTTCTTCAGTTTATTTTAAATTCTATATTATACTGTATTAATAGTATTTCTAGTTACATTAAGGCTAAAGCAGAGTGTTCTTGGTAATATTGTATATCCTGTCAAAACATACATTAGCCTAATCATTGCCATTGCATTTGTATTTTTCAAAGATGTCAGGGAAAAATGCAAAAATATTTTTTTTCCAAACATTTTGGAGCAATTTGTTATATATTTGTAGCCTAATTTTGAAATATAACATTAAAGAATAGGCCTATATTTGATGTGATGAATTGCTCTGTCATTTATCAGATTTACCAATTGTTATAATTTCAATTTTTGCTGGTTAATTATGAACAATGGGTAAAATTGGGGGCGGGGCTAGGCGGGGGCGGGGCTCCATTTAGGCTCCTCCCCTAACCGCATGTGATCTCACTCCAAGCTTTTGATAAAACTTGAGAACCCTGGTTGTACGTCACAGCATCACACACATGACCAGCGTCGGCCAATAGTGAGCCTGTGTGTGACGTGCAACACAGAAGCGCTGCGCTGTTACACTACGTGAAATCTCACGGCCCACAGAGAAGGAAATGAAGAGTTGAATAAAGTCGTTATTTTTGTTTGTGTTTTGCCTATGGAGGAGTGATCCAGCTCTCAGATTTAATCAAAAATATCTTAATTTGTGTTCTGAAGATGAACGAAAGTCTTACGGGGTTGAACAACATGAGGAAGAGTAATTACTGACAGAATTTTCATTTTTTGGTACTAACCCTTTACCCTTTAACCCTTTAACCCTTACTAACCCTTTAATATGTCCAATACAGGACAAAAATTGTCTGTAGTGTTTCTAATGGCCACTGTGTGGAGCAGGATCATGTGTAATCACATAAAATGAATGAACAAGGCTAAAAATGTGCCAGAATGGATTGTGTGCCGGTGCCAGGGCCCCCAAAAGTCTTCACCAGGGTCCTCTTGCCTCATGGGACAATAATCATGCCAAAAATGGCTAGTTTGAACCAAAATGGCTTAGTGGGCTGGCAACCAAAGGTTGTAAGTTTGAATCTGCTAACTAACATGTGCTTCTCTTGATATCTTTCTCAGATCAATGTTCTTCAAGCCAAAAAGAAATTTGAGATTTTGGATTCGGTGAGTGGGTTAAATAAACACCACATTAAACCAGCATTCCCCCTCTCCATAGTTTGTGTATTGACTGTGGTTTTCTCTGTCCTCCACAGATGCTGTCGTTCATGCACGCTCAGTACAGTCTGTTCCAGCAGGGCTTCAACCTCCTGGACGAGATCGACCCCTACATGAAGAAGCTGGCTGCCGAGGTGAGATGCATCTACACATCTCATTAACTCGTGCTCATTAGGCCCCTGTGCACCTGCTGTCCCGGGACACCTGCGCCTAATGCTGGACATGTGCTGACGGGCCCCAGGCTCCACATTAACTCAGGCCTAATGAGTGAAAATGAGGGATAATGTCGATCCTTGAGGGTGACGGCGGGCACAATGCATCTGTCTAAGACAGGCTCATGCCCAGTACACATTGTACGATTTTGGGTTGTCCCAGATGAAAGATGACCAATCGTGGCGATTTAAATAGTGGACGGCCGTTGTCTCAGTCTTGAGACCAAAGATAGCCTGCGATAGGTTTCTGACAGTGTTAGGAATTTAGCATGATCATCTCACAGTGTGTTTGCTGCTACAACCATCTAAAATGTATCATGAGCGTATTGATCAACGCGACATGGCTCTAAAACTTAAAACTTTCCTTATGCTCCATTTGCAACATTGGCATGCCAAGTTCACCGGTTTTCCCTGGCCATGACCGTGTCCATACTCTCCTCTTTCGCTCTCCACTTTTTTCAGCGCACATAAAATTGCCAAAACCGCAATTGCCAAAGTGCATTTCATCTTGCTCTATTTGTTTGACATTTTATATTTCTATACTGACTTTTCAGTCACTATACTACAATTCATTAGGTGTCATTATCGTACAGTCGTACATGCATGTCGTACCCAAGGTTATTATATCCATGTCGCACAGTGTGATTTGTAAAGATCTCATAGGATTACTGAAATGTAGCAGCATTAAAGACAAGCTGAAATTCAAATTCACCCTATTTACTCAAAGGGATAGTTCACTTTGAAATAAATTTTTGGTATGTTTTAGCTTACCTCGAGGGCATCCAAGATGTAGGTGTCTTTGTTTCCGCAGTAGTTTCAATTTTGATATTTTTAGGTCAAACCGTTCTTGTCTGTCAGTCATATAATGCAGGTCTATGGTCACCACCTCAAAGAGCATGCACAGAGAAGTCCAAATTAAACATGATTTAATGACTCGTAAATGTAAGTACACATTGATGGCCTAAGACACGAAACGAGCGGTTTGTGTGAGAAAACCAACAGTATTTATATCGTTTTTACCTCTTGTAAACACAGCCACGTCCAAGTGATCTCTCGCGCGTGTACGACACTCATACAATTGTTTTATTTTTTATTTTTTTTAATTGTTTTCTTTTACGACGGTTTAAACATCCCGGATAAGCGCAAATTAGTACCATTTTAATTAGCCGTCTTACCTACAATCTCTGTTCTGTGTAAACAATGAGTGACGTACACGCGCGAGAGATCACTTCCGGTGCTTTCCGTAAAAGACCGAAGCGCCCGCGCCCTCAGATCACTTGGACGTGGCTGTGTTTACAAGAGGTAAAAACGATATAAATACTGTTGGTTTTCTCACACAAACCGCTCGTTTCGTGTCTTAGGCCATCAATGTGTACTTACATTTACGAGTCATTAAATCATGTTTAATTTGGACTTCTCTGTGCATGCTCTTTGAGGTGGTGACCATAGACCTGCATTATATGACTGACAGACAAGAACGGTTTGACCTAAAAATATCAAAATTGAAACTACTGCGGAAACAAAGACACATCTTGGATGCCCTCGAGGTAAGCTAAAACACACCAAAAATGTATTTCAAAGTGAACTATCCCTTTAATATATTAAATGTCTTACTGTGCATTATTTATCAGTGGATGTTATTCTGAAGCAATAAAGCCTCATTATAATTGTTTTATCAGACTTTAGTAGCTTTCTCAGCATTTTTGGTGATGTAATCAAGGCCATTATAATATTATATATATACTGTATATATTTAAATACATTGCCATGTTACGTTATCAAGGTTAAATGTGTTACTAATGTAGTTTGATGTTGTCTTGAATAGAGAAAGACAGAATATCAGCTGAAAAATGACACTTTAGTGAGTCTCTGAAGAACTGCACTCAGCAGTGGTATTCCCAAGTAAAGCAATTTATTAATCTATTTTTGGATTATCATTATTGTTGTTATTATTAATTAAAATGTAAAATAATAATAATAGACGAAATTATAATGAAAATAAAAGTATGAATAATAGTATATAATAAGTTTAATTTGCATTTACTCTGTCAAAGGGCAATAACAATTCAAATAAGTTCTGCATTTTAGTTATTGGACGCATTATCAATATCATAAAATACTGGTATTGAGCTTTGCACATTGTTCACATGATTAATTATGGTAAACGTATTATAAAACTAAAATAAAGCATATATATATATTTACTGTGTGTATATATTCTCTATCGTAAAAGGAGTGTCATAGATCTAAAACAAATCGACTTTATAACCCAATGTGCTTTGTGTTTGTGCTTCAGTTGGATCAGCTGGTCATAGATTCTGCTATGGAGAAGAGAGAGATGGAGCACAAACACGCCACCATACAGCAAAGAGTGAGAACATCTGCTGTCTCTCCTGTGTCCTTCCTCATTTTCCATATCTCTCCATCTTTGTTGTCCGCCTGGTACCTTCTCACTCTTTCTTTTAATTCTTCATTCTGTCTCTTTCTCCTCTTCTTCTAACTGCCTCTTTCCATAATGGCTGATATGACGTTATTTCAAGACATCAAACGAACAAAACAACTATTTCACAAACCCACATCCTATATGCAATCTTCCCGCCTCAGATCCTCAGTTTAATTTGACTAGACAGATCTAGGTGACTTCTGAATTATTAATCCTAAAATAAAAAAAGTGTTTTTCTGCTGAGAATCAGGTGTCAGGTAAAGTTATTTCCTCTGAAGCGGTGACACACTTCCTGTCATAATATTGTCCTCTCACTCAAGCCCTTTGCTGTCACATTCGTGCTTATCTGACAGTTCGCATAACCGTCAGCGTGTCTGAGGAACTCGGACGCTAGCGATAACGCAAGAAGAAAGACTCGGCCTGCATGTGTTTGTGTGTGTTTGTGCTTCATGTTCACATCTGTTTGTTTGTACCTTTGTTCAAAGTGCTTCATCACCATATCAATAAAGGATGATGTCCTGCCCTGTCCAGATCTCTGCGGGAATTTAGCCCTCAAGACACACACACACACACTCGCTAACGTCCATCTGCTAGCACACTGCTAGCCAGCAGGGCATCGCTGCCAACAGACCCGAGCCAGAAACTCTGACTTTTCCATGCGCCCCTGAATCTTTGTCTCAGCTCGTCTTTGCACAGATACCAGTATTGATAACAGATGAGCACATTTCTAGACAAAAGATCTGAGTTGTTGTGTGTGTGTGAAGGCAGAAACCAATTCTAAAATCGATCTAAACACCTCACAGTGATAGATCATCAATCATGATTTTGTGCATTGATCACTGGGATCTGGACGTGGCAGTTTGCCTCCGTTAATGAGCTAATGTCCATTACCAAGATAATGGATGTGGTTTATTAAGAACTGTGCACAGTTGTTTATGAATGCATGCATGCAGCGAATTGGAAAAATGATCAAATCTGAACAATAAGAGACTAATTTTCTTTCTCTTTTCCCTCACTGTCTGATCTCGTTGTGCCACCCACTTCCAGACTTTGATACAGGTGAGTCCATTTTTCCTAATTGATGATTTCTCACCCTGGCATAGACAGACGAAAAGAGTCCAAAAGGAAAAAATGTCTAACCAATGGTCATTAAATTAAGGAAATCTACCAGCCACTAATATACCGTGCCTACCACGAAACTGTATTTTGGATGATTATTTAAAAAAAAATTTTTTATTTTTTTTTAAGGAATTATATAGCTGTTTTTTTTTTTTACAAACAGATCTAGTCATTGTCCCTCAAATGAAAGATAATCTTTAAAAACACTAGAAGTTTAATAACACGGCTAAATGCAATCTTAATGCAATCTTTTTTTCCCATACCATATATTATGTTGTGACGCCTTAATTCACTTAACTAATTTTAGTTTTTAGTGTTATATTTGCATTTTAGACAAAATATTTTAGGTTTTATATAAACAAAATAGAATAAAGTTTATCTGTCATTTATTGGTTCTCTCTAGTTGCTAAATAAGTTATCACTAATGATTAAAAAATATTATTAAATTTAATCTAAAAAACATATATTTTTTTCTTTTTTCAATACTGAATATTATAATCTTGTGACAGTAATAATTTAATAAAACTATTAAATGTAATCTTAGGGTGTTTTCACCACAACGATGTACTAAAAATTATAACGTTTTTCCTTTTTTGTTGTTCGTGTATAGATGAAAAAACTGTCCAAATTATCCTGTTCACACGGATCTGCAAAAACTATTAAAAACACTATTAAACACTATTAAAAACACTATTAAACACTATTAAAAACACTATCAAACACTATTAAAAACACTATTAAACACTATTAAACACCATTAAAAACACTATTAAACACTATTAAAAACACTATTAAACACTATTAAAAACACTATTAAACACTATTAAAAACACTGCATTCTGCAGCGAGACCAGTAGATGGCGATGTCACTTTGTAAAGAAACACTACGCGCACAAATTCACGTTTTCTTTTCTTTCTTTTTTTTTTGTAGTTTACATAGAGACGATAATGGTATAGTTTTTAAAAACTTGCACTTTGAAACCCGTTTTTTAAAGTTTGCTTTTCAGGCCCCCAAAACAACATTGTCGTTTAAACGTTCACTTAATCGAATTTTAAAATGAATACTCTTTATTTCATACGGTATATTATGCTGTGGCTTGATCTAAATTCAGCTGTAGCACTAAAATGATTGATTTTAGTTATATTTTAGAATATTTTAGACAAAAATACTATACATTTTATTTAAACAAAATAGAAAATGTTTAACATCTCTCATTTATCGGTTGTTGCTAATAAAAAATATGAGGCTACTTATATGCTTAGTTAGGAAATTAATTTTGTGTTGAAGTAACATGTTACATTGTGCATTTTGTTAATGCTTTTATAAATTTTATTTCAGTACATTTAGATTATAAATTTTCCCAGATATCAAACCCCGTGACCGTGCTCGCGTCCGGCTCTTCCGGCTACAGGAACACATGATGTTTTCCTTCTCGGGTTTCAGTTGTTTCTCAACGAATGTGTTTTTACGAGGTAGTTCAGTCAGCCTTAGGGATGAATTGATTCATAATCTATAAAGAATTGCTTTATGGCAGTCACGTGCCCTGTTTGCTGTAATCGTCGTGAGTGTGAGAGATGCTGACATCACAGAATTACATGGACAGTACAACATTTGTGCTCCTAGTTACAGTCATACAATTACTTTCCCTGGAAAAGACATTTTCAGAGCAGCAGGTGTCTATTTGATGTATGTTTCAGATGTTTCTACAGCAGCATTGTAAATTACATAGTTTTTAGAGAGTAAGTATTGTCGAAAATAAGTCTTTTGACAAAATGCTGGAACTAGAAATTGATTTCCGTGTGTTTTGAGGCTGTCAGAGCCACGTGAGGCCGACCTTCCTCCTCACCCGCGAGCTTTTGCGTCACTGTCTAGGACACTTGGGAATTTCATCTCGGCAGAGCTCTAAGGAGCTTATGAAGCTCTAATGAAATCCCAAAATTGATTTTTCTGTGGATTTCCTCCTCTTTTATATGTGGAACCAAGGCTATTCAACTCATATTCATGTTTATACCACTTAAAATCTTAGTAAACTCATATTTTATTACAAGCAGAAGATAATGAAACAAGTCTGCAAAAATGTAAATATCACAAAATGTTGATCTCTCTCTCTCAGTCTAGACTCATATTCCGAATGAATCAGTGCAAACACGTTCACTCTTTGTGTTTGCTGTTCTCATAGAGCTGTGTTGTTGATTTGTTAAGGATAGAAACTAGGATAGGAAGAAGTATTTTAACATACATTTACAAATTTAAAAGAGTTGGTTTGTGGATAAAAGACATGATTTTTTAGTGAGGTTTTATTGTAGTAATATTGGTATGATTTAGTTAGACTGATGATTGTCATGGGGAATGGTTGAATGCATTAACTAATAGCTGTATTTGAGTGATTAATTATTACATTTTATATTGTATATTTTGTATTGCAACTTACCTGCTCGGGGACTGCAGATGGAAACTAGCTTAAGCTAAATCTGGTGCAAAGCATCTTTAATTAATGTTTTTTTGCACATTGTCCCTGTTGAAAAAAAAAAAAAAAAAAAAAAAAAAAAATCGTAAATTGCTTAAAAACTGCATTAAAATGTAGTTCATACATGCAATGACTTGATGATCTATTCTACGAGGAATTTTTTTAGAATTTAAACTTTTGGGGGGCATAAAGTCAAGTGGTACCACTGACTAGATATCATAAAGAAAAAAGCTTCATTACCACAATAATGGCTTGGAAATCTGCATACGATTTTTGCATTCCCATGTCCGTTTGGACCCGGTGGAATGTAAGCTTATAAAACAGTATATTTTCAACTAAAACCATATCGTATCTGATCAATAACTTCTCATTAATGACCGAATGTGCAAAAAAATCTCAAGTTTTTAAATGTTACCATATTACTACACTCTTTTTTTACCCTCTAGTGCTGTTTTGTCATTTTTGACTGAAAAATTTGTTTTGTTTTTTAAATTTTTTTTTTATTACTTCATCAGAATGGTAAGAAACTTGATAAAAGTTTTGGCACTTGCTATGTGAACACAAACAAAAATCATGGACCTGATTCGAAAAGGTTAAATGGTCTTGAAAATAAGTCACACTTGTGCTCCTCGTTGTCAAAAATTAGCAAATTGGAAATGAATAGGAGACGAATTTCGTCTAGTGGAAACGTTTGAATACTTCATCCAAACAAATTCTTACTGAAAGCTCATTTTTTGAGAAATTTGGAACACAACTTCTTTAGATGTATGGCTTTGATTTTCTCACAGTTTTAGAGTAAAACCTGTTTTGGAAAAATATATATTTCTTATACAAATTTAAAAATAGTACTTTTTTTTATGCTGACCACAACTGTATGCCTTCCGTGTCAAAATTGATCTGAATGCATTATGGGGTTTTAAAAGAATACAATTCTTGACAAGAAAACTCTTAAATTGCTTGACATAATCTTGTATTGGCAATTTATATATTAAAAATGTTCATATTAAATTCATGCGGTGCAACTAACATGCAGCTCCAGGTGTGTGTGTGTTGAGACTCTGGAGTCAGCCGAGGTCTGGAAGTGTCTCAGTGGGCACTTTGCCTACTTCTGCCCTGGCCAACACCGCTAAACATAGCAGATGGCAGAGACCCGATGCTTAGAGAGGGCAAGAGTTGGCGCGCCAAAAACATGGACAAATTAGTGCCACCAACTGTCCCGAACAGAGGGAGCTTGATTCAAGAGCGCTGCACACTCAAGTGCACACGTGTGACTGTGATTGTCTGCAGGGCAAGGCTGTAATCTAGAACATGACTTGCAGATGGATTGAACCTCCTGTTTCTGTAACAACAACAACAAGAAGATTTTAGAGGCCAACTTGAGGTAAACATTTACATGACAAAATCTGTTAGGAGCCTCAGCAGAGCAATTTGATGTGCCATCCTGTTTTTGTCCACATCCAGGCTTTTTTTTTTTTGCCAGTAATATAGACTCATTTGGACTTCTTTGTGTGGGGACAAGACTTGAATAGCTTTGTATTAATGGCATAAAAGCATAATAAAAGTTCTTATTCATTTTCCCCTCTGTCCAAGCTATCAAATCTTTTTCATCAAACAATTTTTTTTTAATGTTTTGTGACCAGTCATGACATAATTTCTGCATCGAACTTAATTTTTTGGTGAACTGTCTCTTTAAGAGTGACATCAAATGAACATAAACATTTTTTAAACTCTTACCACCCCCGTTCTTTAGTACATTAGTTTATGTGTAATAATGGTTTTCAAAGTTACGAGATAAAAGCAAAAGCAGATGTTAGAGACAGCCAGAGTACTGGGACAAAAATAATTGTGTAACAAAAAAGGAAATTTGAATTACAAAGAAAAGTAGGTTGCCAAACAGCTAAAGAAAAGAGCGAGGAACATTTGGCCTGCGGATGAAAGAGAGTGAGAAACTAATTTGGGAGAAAGAGAACAGCTGTAAAGTCAGTAATAAGCTTAAAGTGTGCAGCATGGCATTCAGTACGTCTCGTCCGGTATGTTCTACACACTTCCACAAAACAGCATGTTGTCCGGTGACCTGTTGACCCCGAGGGGTGAGGAACATCTCTACCAAGTTCAGTCACACAGCCTGTGAGAAAATGTTAATCACAGAGTGTTATGTTAGTGCCATTGAGATACTATTATATACAGTATGTTTTGTTTCACGTCTGGGTCCTGATCACTCTGTCAGGGTTTATTCTGAGATGTACATTATCCCTTACTTAGATGCAGGTCAGATGTCCAGATATCGGCTATACATCTGATTAAAAAACTAATTTGGAAGTGGCTCAGAACAGATGCATTAAAATTGGATCTTGTGGTGATTTTTGTGTTTTACACGTGTGCAACAAATTCCGATGCGAGTAAAAAATTTGATTTTTTTTTTGTGCCATTGTAAACGCTGCCTATGTTTCAAGTTCCGTTTTGTGTTGTAAT